CCCCCCCACAACAGCAAGCTCTATGCGCTTTGCACTATACATTTTGTATTATTACCCCAGCAGACCAAAGAACACTCAGAAACATTTTCTCAAACACTAACAAACTGACAAGATATTTCGCTGTCTATAGCTGGGTATCCATTCCCACCTGGGTGAAGTGAGAAAAATGTGTGTAAAGTGCCTTTCCCAAGGACACAATGTTGGGCCCCTGTTGGGATTCGAACCCGCGACCTTAGGGTTGCGAGTCCGAGAGCCTAACCACTAGGCCACAGACGCCACACACATATACTTATACTCACACTCACACACACACACACACACACACACACATCCCCCACCAGGGCAGTGCTATTGACTAAATGTGTTTTTAGAACATTCCCAAAAAGAGGATATTAACATTTTTATATGCACAATGGAATTGTACATGGGCTGATTTATCAATGTCAAGCGCATACTGTGCCGAAACAACATAGGGGGAACTGCTGCTTTTTCTTTCCTCATCCTTATTATAGTCATTTTTCCTCTACTTTTTTGTATGTTTGTCACTCTCTTGTGAACTGCTATTTCCGGGGTGCCTTGATAGTCGAAGCAGACTTTGTGCTGTTGAGGCGAGAGAGGTTAGCAGAGTAAGCCTGATTCCCCGTTTGGACTTCTCTGTTGACTTTCACCCCTTAGCGCTCATATGACCTCATAAAGTTGCGGGCGTTGTGAAACCTTACTAAAACTGAACTAACTAAACACACACACACACACACACACACACACACACACACACACACACACACACATACACCCACACGAGCACACACGTGCGCACACACACACACAATCACGCACACGCACACACAGACACACAATGATTTTAGTTACCCAAAACGTTTGAGTGAGCAAAGTGGAAACTGTCAATTTTTATGTTTTGAAGCAGCCTCTAATCCCATTCGCAAACGGCTTTTGCCTGAAAGGTATGCTCATTCATTATCTTTCAAGTAGGATGAAGTGAAGCATTACGGCCATTCCAGTTACGGTTCACTGCATAAATCCGAGGGTAGCGTCCTGTAAGATGTTGTCAGTAATTATTCTGTGAGTGTGTTGTTGTTGTTTTGTTGGGTGTCTTTAGAATAAGAAGTAGCAGAAGGGGTAAGAACGGGTTCGTCAAAAAACAAACGACCCCCCCCCCTTTCTTTTCCCTTAACTTCCCAATTTGTCAGCTTCAAAATACGGAGACCCACATGACACTGGTCTCTTCATGGAATGCTGTCACTCGCAATGCGGACCGAAACATGAGTCATACTAATATCATAAATAATTAGCCATCCCTGAACGGACATAATATGAGAAGTCAGCTCACAAACGTTCTGCGCACATTAGGAAAATTTTCACGGCTGCGAAGTATGATGTCACCTAAGGCTGGTCCCAGAGTGGTTCTGTAGGTCTGACCTGTAGCTCGCCTGGCTGACACCGTGCAAATGAATGTATACATTATCGTATGCTTAAGCAGCGTCGCTGTGTCGTCTGTTTTTGGTCAGCTGAGCAGCGAGAAGCGTCAGACGTGCTATTCAACAGTGTTGTAAAAAATGGCGGATATGTGTCGCCTCTCTTCGTGTTTATTTTCGACTGAAACTCTTCACAGATCATCAAAATCAACAAGAAGTAAGTATTATTAGGTGTTTTACTATTAAATATTGATGCAAGCATCAACACTTGACCACAAAATCACCCAGAAATGCACTTTATCATACTTTTAAACTTCGAATCGAGAGGTTGACCTAGTTTCGACTGTTGTCGTAGGCCTAGGCCTAGGCCTTGATCTAGGTGTGCTTCTCTAGATTCTAGATCTAGCCTTGCATTGTAACCAATGTAAACTATCGCCGCACGCAGCTGCAAGTGTGTTTGTGTGTGGGGAGGGGGGGTGTACTTGGCACATGACGTAAAGAAGAGTTGTCCCGTCTTGGTATAATTGGTCTTGGATTACACAGTACCTAAATACAGCAAGGCAGACCCGTCAGTTGCACACGTACACACGTCAACACACAGTGCGCTGTGCTGAGACGCAGCGAGTGTGCCTCGCGCTCGCTGAGACACAGGCGCCAACCCACAGTGCGGCTGTGCTGACACGCACACAGCGTGCGCCAGGCCAGCTACAGGTTAGACCTACAGAACCACTCTGGGTCCGGCCTAACGGTGAAGAGAAACGTACAGACGAAAGCTGCCCCATTTACATTCCCGCAGTTATGCGACGACTGGAAATTTTCCTCGTGTGCACGGTGCATTAGAGAGAAAATTCAGCCATATATTATACGAAACGATACCGAGACGAAACTTATCTCCAGATCAATTTAGTGCCGGGTTAGGCTCAGGGATGG